TGTCTGGGAAATTTTTCTCTCTCCTATTTTGAGTGACAGCCTTGCTGTAGAAATAATTCTTGGCTGCATATTTTTCCGATTCAGCACATTGAATATATCCTGCCACTCGTTTCTGGCCTGCCAAGTTTCTGTGGATAGGTCTGCTGCAAATCTGATCTGGCTTCTCTTATAGGTTAAGGACTTTTTTTTTTCCTTGTTGCTTTCATAATTCTTTCCATGTCTGTGTATTTTGTAAATTTGACAACGATATGCCTTGTTGATGGTTCTTGTTGAATCTAATGGGAGTTCTCTGTGCTTCGTGGATTTTGATGTCTGTGTCTTTCCCCAGGTTAGGAAAGTTTTCCACTCTGATTTGCTCACATAAACCTTCTACTCCTTTTTCTCTCTCTTCATCTTCTGGGACTCCTATGATTCTGATGTTATTCCTTTTTAATGAGTCACTGAGTTCTCTAATTCCTATATTGTGCTCTTTTGCCTTAGTTTCCCTCTTTTTTTCTGCTTCATTATTCTCCATAATTTTGTCTTCTCTATCACTGATTCGCTGCTCTACTTCATCCATCCTTGCCGCCATGGCATCCATTCAAGATTCCATCTCTGTTATAGCATTTTTAATTTTGTCCTGACTAGATTTTACTTCTTTTATCTCCGCAGAAAGGGATTCTATGCTTTTTTTCAACCCCAGCTAGTATTCTTATTATAGTGATTCTAAATTCTAGTTCAGACATCTTGCTTATATCTGTGTTAAGTCCCTGGCTGTCATTTCTTCCTGTTCTTTCTTCAGGGGTGAATTCCTCTTTTCATCATTTTGGAGAAAGAGAATGAATAAAATTTTTAAAATTTATAAATTAAACACAACACAATCAAATAAAGGAAGACAGATCCTAGGTGTGTTTTGATCTGGTTGTTGAAAGAAGCTTGATAGAATAGAGAAAAAAGGGAAAGAAAAGAGAAAAAGAAAAAAATGTTTAAAAATTTTTAAAAATGTATACAATGAAACAGAATAAAATGAAGTAAAATGGAATGAAAAGTTTACAAAAAAATACAGTAAAAAAATTTTAAATGTTTTTATAAAAACAAAATAAAAATACATTTTCCTCTTTTTGTATCTAAGAATAAGAAAAGAAAAAGAGAAAAAAATGAATAGATGGGCCAGCGAACAGAATGAAATTACAGTCAGTTTCCCCTAGAAGTCAAACTATGAGTTATTTTATAGCCTGTACACTAAGCAGGCAGGAAAACTTGTGGTCGTCCTCTAGGGCTTAATTGGTGCAGTTGGACAGGGCTTGGTGTAATGGCTCCATTCTCCACTAGGTGGTGCTGCTTAGCTTACTGGGGTGGATCAATGTGGGCACATGCAGAGGTATGTGCCAATGAGGTGAAAATGGTGTCACCCAGTTTCCCAGTCACTAGCATCAGAACTCTGTGCTCTCCCCAGGCAGCCATCAGGCACCTCTCCTTTGTTTCCAGCTTTTGTCCACTCCCTGCTTCTACACTGTCCATGACCAAGCCATCAACCTGCCAGGCAGCACCTCTCTCTCAAATTTTATCTCAGATGGGGCTGTTTTTCCAAACACCTCACTTCTGAGGGCCCTGCAGCTTTGACCTACTGGGGGAGGGCCTCGCTGAGCAATGGCCAGGTGCTGGCTTGTCCCCAGGACCACTTGCACGACCACACCACTGCAGAGACCCAGAGACTGCCTCTGGGTGCCAGCCTGCCCCAGAAAAAGTTTGCGTGATCATGTAGCAGCAGTGGTTCAAGGGACTATGGCAAATCACAACACACACAACTGGCACAAGGCTTCACTGCACCCTAGCGTCCTTGTTCCAACACCAGCAAACGTTGCTGTTCTCTGGGGTCCGCTGGGACCTTTTCCCATGGGGACGCCACACAGTCTCCACCAAATGTACTCCCAGCAGGGGAACTGTCTCTCCCCATGTGGCCCAAAGACCCCTCGCACCTCTCTGTCTGCTCCTGGGGATTCATCCTTCCCACCAGAGCACCGCCAGGTATCCATCTGGCTGCGGAGTTTCTGACTCTGCACTCTCCTGTTTATAGAGTCCTAATGGTATTGAAACTCTCTCCTTTCTTCTTTCTCCCTTTCTTGTTCACCCCCTTGTGGGTACTTCCACTCTTTCTCTTTCTCTCCAGCTGCTTTGAGGGGGAGTGCTTTTCTTATACTCTCTCCCTATCTCTGTCCTCTCTCTGCAAACAAAAACAGCTCCCTACCCTCCACAGCTTCTCTCTCCACCCATTCACCTCTCCAGGCCAGGTACCTGCCAAGGTCCGTGGCTCAAGTTACACAGTTGTTGTGTTAATCCTCATATCGATTTTCTAGGTGTGCAAAATAGTTTGCTGCTGATCTAGTTGCATCTCAGGGACAAGAGAAGCAGAGAGCTTCCATGCTGCTCAATCATCTTGGCTCCTCCGCACAAAATCCCAAATTTTAAGTATTAATGTACTATCTACATTGAGATATGAATCTTATAATGGGTTTTTCCCCTTCCAAATGGGGTGGAGAAATTTTTAATGAAGTTTTATTCATTTATTGTGTTTAAAAAGATTAATGAATAAAAGATCAGTGATAATCATAAAGCAGAAACTCAAAGTAACAAAAACACATTTTCACCAAGTAATTTTAAGAAGTCTAATGCTTCTTTTTTCTGAAAATGATCCTTATTAATTTTGACATTATTCATTTACGGTGTTACTACATTTGAATAAGGACTGGCCTAAAAGTTAGCAAATAATTTACAAAATGTTATCATTTGCTCAAAAAATAACTTGCAGAAGACAAGGCAAATAATATAAGCAAACCAGAAACAATACCCTCAATGTAGGACTTCAGAAAAAGCAGCATTTCTGACTACTCAGAAATCCTTATTACCTGGCCGATACTGAGTATTTTATTGCAAATACAGAACCATAAAGCCTTCAGACTATGTAGCTACTGGGGTGAAGCAAACTTTTCCTTTAAGGATCAGTTAGTATATATTTTAAGTTTTGCAAGCCACATGTCTCTATGACAACTATTTAACTTTGCCATTGTGGTACCAAAACAGCCACAGATCATACATAAACAAATAGAAATGGCTGTGTTCCAAAAAAAAAATCTTTATTTATAAACACAAATATGAATGTCATGTAATTTTCATGTGTCACAAAATGTTATTTTCTTTGGATTTTTTTTGAACCATTTAAACACATAAAAACCATTCTTAGCTTGTGGGATGAACATAAACAGGCTATGAGCTGTATCTGACACAATGGGCCATAGTTTGTTAACCATGGTCAAGGTGAATAACAAACTTTTTTGATCATGACCTGTAAGAAATACATTTTAAAAATCACAGCCCTGGGGCACCAAGGTGGTTCAGTCAGTTAAGCATCTGACTCTTGGTTTTGGCTCAGGTCATGATCTCACAGTTCATGGGAGCCCTGCATCAGGCACTATGCTGTCAGCACAGCCTGTCTCCCTCTCTTTCTGCCCCTCACCCGCTCACGTTCGCTCACTCTCACTCACTCTCTCAAAAATAAACATTTAAAAAAACTCACATCCCTGCATACATGTGAGCACGTGCGCACACACACACACACACACACCCAAAGGTTTATGAAACAATACGTTGCTGCACTACGTGTGACACAGCTACTTTCTCTTATAATACTGGGTACTAATGGGTGTCAATCCACAGTCTGGAGAGAAAACTGGTATCTAGAGAAATGAAGTTATTTTGCTCAAACATACACACACAGAATCAGTGGGACAGCCAAGTCTAGAATCCAAACATTCTGACTTGCTTTTCAGAATACCCCATCCTGCTAGGACACACCACACTGACTCATCACTCTTATCAAGTCAAATTCACTGGTTCAAGTATGGCTGCTACATATGTGTGTTCTTCCAGTCTTAATGTCACTTGAAGGAACAAATGCAGCTCCCCCACAGTTCCTGTGGGCATCTCCTAAGGAGAAACTGAGAAGGCAAACATGAGCAGGCCAAACTTTGTCCCCATCACCGCAACTGTTCTCAGGGCTGCAACTCTGAACAGTGCAGTGTGTGATGCAACCAGTGGTTGCCTGGGCACATGCCCACTCCCACACATCTTTCCAGCAAAGTGAGTCCCTGTTCTGATGCTATGTTGTATGTGATTCCATAGCTGTGGGTCAAGTAGCCAACTGGTAGCATTAAACGTATACTAAGTTGCTAAGTAAAATGATTTATTTATACTATACATTAAATATTTAAAAAATCAATAAGATACAGTTGTTGCTTAAAAAAAGCCTACAGTCCAAGGAAAATCAAATGCCCACAGCAGTGTCTTCCTTTTATCATTACACACTATACTTGTAAGTGCATGTACATGGTTTAGGTACTGGTAAACCATCATCACAAAAACCTAAAATAATCACTGAAAATAGTCAAGTTGCACCACAAATGTACTTATATGCCAAATATTACTAGTTGGCAATAATGAATACTATTTGTAATTTCTAAAATTAACTGGCAAGATTTAAGAACTATAGCTACTGTTTTTATGAATCCCATATTTTCAACCTGAGTATTTCTAATTTCAATTTTTATAACAAAATAATACTGTCCACATCTCTTTTTAAATCATACAGATTTAGATATATCTAAATCAAGTTCAAATTAAAATCAAATTACTAAATAAATATATATTACTACTAATATTTATTGAAAGTTAGTAAATAATCTGTACTTTCAGATTCCATATGAATAAAAAATTTCTAAATTTCTAAACTGTCCTATGGTCAGGTTTATTATGTTGGCTTCATCTGAATAAGTAATGAGCTTAGAAAATACAGTAACCCATAAGGACAATTTTAAAACAGTGCAAAATTTCCAAAGCAGGATAAAAAATTATAATAACTTTAATTCAGAGTACTTTTCTTCCTAAATACCAAAGCAGTTTTTTGAAGTACGTCTTATATTCTGACAATGGTCCTGCTTAAAAGAAAGAAGAAATCTGAAACTCACCTTTGTACACCATAAGGTCTTTCTAAGATAGGCTCTTTGAATGGAGGTGGAATGTGACCAAAATAATCAGGATAAGCCACCTCTGAATATTCTGGGACAGACTTTGTATTTTTCACAATCTCAATATAGAGATCTGAGTCGTGGAGTGTGGGTCCATCTGAGACTTCCACTGATGTCTGTTCCACTGATGAAGTAGACTCTGTATCTTCATCATCCTCAGTTTCAACTCCAGTACAACAAAGCTTCCCTAATTGAACTGTTCTTCCCTCAAAAAGAACATTTCCGCAAGCAGCCATGTGTGGACAAGCTTTAGTGCACGTAAGGACAGTGAGAGGGAGACTGTAGTCCTTCTTCCCTCCTGCGGTAAAACCTGGGCCTGTCTGAGAAGGAAGATTCTGCAACGTAATTCGGTCCAATGCCTTCACAATATCGTTGTTTAGGCCCTGGGTGGAAGAAATAGTTCTATTTTGATCACCCGGCTGCTGTTGTGATGTTCTGCCATTATCTTTCATATCTTCTTTTGCCAGATCCATACAGGTAGGTTTCTTATCACCTTCGTCTCCTTTAGGAGACACATGCACCTTCCTTACAACTCCTTTTCTTAAATTGCCTGAATTTCCAGATGCTTCCTCTCCAGCTGTAGGAACAACGATAGGGCCGCGTACTTTCCCCTCAAATACAGAAGGCTTTGGTTCTTTGGAGATTAAATCATAGTCCTTTGAAAATAAAAAATACATATGATCTTTTAGCTGTAAATATTAAAATGTATTAACAAAATTAAGACTATATTCATTGCATATGCTGCTTCAGAATCTAACATTTGAAAATTATAAAGATGGAGCGCCTGGGTGGCTCAGTCGGTTGAGCATCCGACTTCGGCTCAGGTCACGATCTCACGGTCTGTGAGTTCGAGTCCCGCGTCAGGCTCTGTGCTGACAGCTCAGAGCCTGGAGCTGCTTCGGATTCTGTGTCTCCCCCACCCACCCACCCCCCCTGTTTCTCTCCCACTCACGCTCTGTCTCTCTCTCTCTCTCTCCCTCTCTCTCAAAGATAAATAAATATTTTTTAAAAAAAATTTTTTTAAAAGGAAGCACAACACCCAAACCGTTACTTCAACAACTACAGTGTCTGTTTTGTACCAAGCAATGTTTCAGGCTCTTAAGGCCCATCAGCCTAAAAACAAAAACAAATCTTCTTCCCTCCTGCCGCTTACATTCTTTGATGGAAGGAAGGGCGAGGACTGTCAACACAAGCAACAAACATGACACAAATATATAATATGAAAACTTAATAGACTAAAGTGTTAATAGCAAGAAGAGGGGGGAGTTGGGTACTGTGGATGGCGAGTGCCAGAGGGAGGAAAAGTGGGCTGCAATTTTAAATGCCATGGATTAGGGAAGCCTGAGAAGATGATATATAAGCAAAGGCAGAAAGGACTGCCATCCACACGCCCTAGAGAAGAAGGGTGCTTGGTGTATGCAGAGAACAGCAAGGAGGTTAGGATGGCTGGAACAGAATGAACAAGGTGGATTCTAAGATGTAAAAGAGGACCAGATACTGTAGGGCTTGGCAGGCTATTGTAAGAATTTTGGTTTTTACTGTGAATGACACTGGGAGCCAGTGGAGGGTTTAGGGAAGAGGAGTGCCATGACACAGGAAAACATGTGCCATGACACTGAGAAAACAAAACAAAACAAAACAAAATAGAACCTGTAAGTACAGAGTGTCTTAACCACCTGCAGTACAGGGTTTCTTAACCACAGGGGTAAGACATTTGATCTAAACAATTATTCTTTGTTTGGTTTTGGTTCTATGTTTCAGGGGCCGGGGCTAGCAAGATAGGGGGCACCATCTTGTGCACGGTAAGATGTCTAGCAGCAACCCTGGCCTCCCTCCTCTGTACACGCTAGATGCCAACAGTATCCTCACGCATTTGTGATCACCCAAAATGTCTCCAGACACTGTCAAATATCCCCTGGAGACAAAATCATCCCAGTTGAGAACCACTGCTCTAGTGTCCTTCTGAGAACAGACTAAGGAGGGGAGAGTAGAAACAGAGGACAAATTAAGAGTCCGGGCAAGGTGGTAAGAGGGGGTTGGATTCTAAATGCACTGTGAGGCAGAACTAACATGATACTGTAAAAGACCAGATACAGGACAGAAGGGACAGAGAGGTATCATACACGGTGCCTAAGTGTTTGCCTGAATAAATGAAAAGCATCAGGAGTTTAGCTCTGAGATGTTAAGTGTGAGCTATTCACAGCTAGTCAACCGTGTAAAGTAGGCAACTGAACATATATGAGTCTAGAATTCAGAAGAAATGCCCATCCAGAAGATTTAAATCTGGGAATCATTAGCATACAGATATCATTTCAAGCCATGAGGCTGGAGATCTTCAATGAAAAGAACTAGAGAAGAGAAGAAGACTGAACTTTGGGTCACTATCAACTACAGAGGTTGAGGGGATGAAAATAAAGCTTTAGAGGAGATGGAGAAGGAAAAGCCAGTCGGGAAAGACAAACACCAGGAAAGAAAAGTGTCCTGGAAGCCAAGTTTAAAAAAAGGATGTCGCTGACAGGTCAAGTAGCCTTTTCTCTTTTTACACTTACAAAAATATTTTTTGCGTCTATATCTTATATAGACTCTACCAAAGAAATATACCACAACTGATTTAACTTTTATTCTACTGTTGGGCATTAAATCTTTTATTCAACAGAGGATTTAAACAAACATATAAACAAAGTATATATTTAAGCCATTTCCAAAATTTTGCTATTATAAAAAAATCTGTAAAGAACATCTTTTTGCATAAAACTTTTTGTTTAGGATGACGTCCTAAGCACTGAAATGGAATTACAGGGTCACATAACTATAATCAATTTTAATGTTTAATACAAATTCTCCAAATACTCTCCAAAAATACTTATCCAAGTGTACATTCCCAGTACCTGTGGATGAGATTATCTATTTCAACTGCTCTCTTCCTTGCCAACATCAAGTACTATAGTTTTAAAACACTTTTCCAAAAGGGACAGATAAGAAATACTGTCTAATGCTATTTTAATTTGAATTTCCCTATGAGAAAAGCAAAAAAAAAATAAAAATCTATACATCTGTTAACTGGTTTAATTCTTCATAGGTAATTTATTTGTTCTTGAAATACAGGGTTTTTCTTATCTTGCATAAATTCCTACATTACACACACAAACACCCCAATCCTCCAAGTAACCTATCTTTGCAAATATTTTTCTGAATTTGCAATTCATCTTTTAACTTTAGCTTCTTTATACACATTATGTGGTAAAAATTAAGAATCTTTTCCTTTGTGATTCATTCTTTAAATACCCACTGCATATAAACCAAGGACCTTAAGACGATTCACTCTCAGCCCCTATACAATGTCTAATCCAAGGAGACAGTGGAGGCACAAAGGAGGTAGTAGAGGTAGGTGGCTCTCCATTAAAAGTGTTGAAAGCGGGGCGCCTGGGTGGCTCAGTCGATTGGGCGTCCGACTTCAGCTCAGGTCACGATCTCACGGTCCGTGAGTTCGAGCCCCGCGTCGGGCTCTGGGCTCATGGCTCAGAGCCTGGAGCCTGCTTCCGATTCTGTGTCTCCCTCTCTCTCTGCCCCTCCCCCGTTCATGCTCTGTCTCTGTCTCAAAAATAAAATAAACGTTAAAAAAAAAAAAATTAAAAGTGTTGAAAGCAAGTAAACTTGCATTTAAAAACTCTGTTGATTTATAAAGACTAACATACAAAGAACACTGCTACATAAGTGGTATTTTATATTGAGATGTCATTTTGATCCAGGATGTTACTTCAGTATCAAACTCAGTATGCAGCACCCAAAGCTTTTCCATAAACAAATAGGGGTATAACATGAAAGCTGCTTTTCTTAAAGAGTAAAAGTACATTCCATGTACATAAATGAATTTAAAACAGTAAGTTGAGGCAAATAGTTGAGAGGTTTTATTCTTAGAACAGTAACTTAACCATAAATATTTTAATGTTAGTTTACTCATCTATGATCTGGGGTCATGATGAAGTGAGAAAACGTCCCCCTAAGTACAACTGAATGCATGAGGGAAAAAAAAAATTAAAAATAGTAATTTCATCTACAATCTTCAGATCACCCTTATAATGTATTATGGGCCCATTTCTCCTGAAATACCTTACGATGAAGTGGTCTCCCCTTTTTTGGAGCTTTTGTAGTTAATTTTAATTTTGACTATGGTTTGGAAAAGAGGGGTTGCCTATTTATATAGGAAGGCTAGTTTTTCCATAAAACAAATCTTTATTTTATGTTAAAGATACCACTGTACTTTTTTTACACTATTTGTATACATGTGGTGGTATTAATGCTGAACTGTAAAATATAAAATTATAATGTGACCCTGTAATTCTAAAAAACAAGAGCAACAAAAACTCTGTTTGAAATACGGTGGGCTAGATATCCACCCACAGAAACACTTACAATTGTTGGATATTAAAATATTTTAAGTACCACAACAAGTGGATAAGACAGCAAAAATAAAGAGCAAAGAGTAAATGATGACGGGATCCCAAAGTGGTAAGACTAAATGGCTTTCACTTGGAAAATATTTGCTAAAACAGGAGACCTGGGGGTTTAGGTTTTCCCATCTCAGAGTATAAAGAATAGAAGACTATCCCAGAACCTGCGTAAGGTGGGGACTCTACCAGAAGATCCTTCTCCCATAAAGATGAAACCCCCAGAGAACTAACTTTCGATATGGAGGCCCTAAAAATACCCCCACCAGAAAACAAACAGCAAGGAAAACCAACTGTCTCAAACCTGGGCACTAAGAGAATGAAAAATATCACTACCCATAAGTTATAAATTGATATCAAAAGCCTGCCATCACATCACACAGACTGCAGCCTGAACTCACGTATCTGAGTGGTCCAAAAACCCTTCAGAAGGAATGTAACCTATTAAGAGAGCCTGTCAAAAGTAATAAACAACTTCTGGAGTTTCCGCATAAGTTCCACAAACAGAATTGTAAAGAAAATGACCAGCTCATAGGGAAAAAAACAAAAACAAAAATACAACTAAATGAAAAATTAAACAGTAGAAGAGAAGGAACTAAAACAAACAGATGTGGAAAAAGACCTGCAAGAACTTCAGACACTAATATTATAACACTAATTAAATAACTATATTTAATATGTTCAAAGAAATAAAAGACAAGAAGAAGTTTAATGAAACAGATTTTTTTTTTAAACCTTCCAAACCCCCCCGCAAAAAAACAAATCTGGATGCCTAGTGGATGCTTGTAACAACCAATCAGAGCCAAAAATAAAATTAGGGAACTGGCAGACTGTTTTAAGGAATGTAGTTGACTATAGCATAGAGAAAGAGAAGGAAAACATGAAAAAGAGTTAAAAGATATGGGAAGAAAGTAAAAAAGTCTATATCCAGGGGCGCCTGGGTGGCTCAGTCCGGTTGAGTCCAAACTTCGGTTCAGGTCATGATCTCACAGTTCATAGGTGTGGGCTCGAGCCCCGTGTCAGACTCTGTGCTGACAGCTCAGGGCCTGGAGCCTGCTTCAGATTCTGTGTCTCCCTCTCTCTCTGCTCCTCCCCCTGTTCGTGCTCTGTCTCTGTCTCTGTATCTCTCTCTCTCTCAAAAATGAATAAACATTAAACAAAAAAGTTTTTAAGTCTACATCCAATTAGTAATGCCAGAAGAAAAGAGA